TGCAACAAGTAGGTTCCAAACCAGAAGATGGCCTAGGCCATCTGTGCAAGAGCAGGCACCCCTTCTGAGCCCTCTCGTGTGCACAGGTTATCGAGCTGGTGGACAAAGAAGATGTCCACATCTCCACTAGCCAGGTGGCTGAGATTGTGGCCGTGCTGGAGAAGGAGGAGAAGGTGGAAGAGAAGGAGAAGGCCAAGGGCAAGGCTGAGAAGGAGGCTGCAGAGGTGAAGAACTAAGGGAGGTGCCCAGCTCACACACAGCCCCATGGGCGTCCTCTTCCTCCCGCACCACTGCGGTGGGATGATGTGAGAGTGATTGCTTTGAGGTGATCTTAGTGGCAGATCTAATATTTTGTCTGGAATAAGTCAGAAACTTCCGTAATCAAGTAATTTTTAATTTTCATCATTCCATGAAGATTAAGTCAGTCTCCAGGGAGTTGTGTCTGGACTCATCTAGTGTAGTACTCAGTGGCCCCACAGAGGCCACCGACAGTCACAGCAGGGGCGCCTCCCTGCACATGCCTGTGCCATCTCAGGGCCTGACCTGTGCTCTCTGTTCCCTGAGAGTGAGGACCACGTGGACTCCCAATGCCCAAATAGAACTGCGCGGATGCACCTCATGTTTTCAGAGGTGCTGGGCAAGAATCAGACAGGAGCATAGCCCTCCTCAGCTCTGAAGATCCTTCAGCTGGTCTGTGAACTTTGATTCCTAAAAATCTGTGTAAACAGATCGTCTGTTCCCGCACTTTCAAAGTCATCTTTGTGTGATTCTTCTCAACAGAAGCGTCTGTGACTTCAGTGGCCTCTGGAAGTAGCACCTCTCCTGACAGTAGTGCCCATGTCTTGAGTGCATCCTGGCGTGGGTTTCCTGAGCTCACTCTTGATTCACCTTCGGTCTTCCCCATCCTTAACTGACTAGTACAGGATCTCTGCACTTGAGAGTCTGACTCAGGAGTAACATCCAGAATGAAGTGCGGGGGAGACACACCAGTGCAGCCCTTGAGAAGGAATCATTTGCCAGGTGATTGTCACTCTGTTGGGGTCCAAGGGTTAGGCCTTCACCACAGCCTGGCTGGAGCAGGTTTTGGCTGGAGCACATGTGGGGCCCTTGATGGCTTCCCTTGTGAAACAAACCCTGCCCGCTGGAGGACGTGGCTAGAGGGGCCATCGCCCACAGCTGGCCTCCTGGGCCACGGCACCCAGATGGTCTCTGCACTTCAGCCTTTGCATGGCCCCACCAAGTCCTTATGAAGGTGGTCATGTGAGTGAGCAGTGGCATCTTGAGGGGCTTGCAGTGTGCCCCCCATGTACTTAGGGGCTGGGTGGTGTCTCCAGGGCTCTGGTGGCCAGCAGCCTCTTCACACTTGATGGCCCTGTCAGGGACAGTTCCATGTGGGCAGGCCAGAGCTGGGTGTCCTGTGGCCTCTCCACCTTCCTGCTCCCCCAACAGCTGCACTTGTCCTTTGAGGCTGTGCGTTGCCAGCAAGAGTGTCCTTCTGGAGGGCTCCAGACATAGGACCCATGAAGCCAAGCTAGCCAGGGAGGGGGTTGCAGCACTCGGAGATGTCAGTTTCTCAGTTACTTGGCTTTTTCCTTGGCCTTTAAAGTAGAAACTTGACAGAATAGGAATCTGATTGTACAGTCTCACATGGAGACAGTCAGAAGCCATGGGGCTCTGAAGGGCTTGGTTTCAGGTGTTGGAGAAGGGAGTGTTTTAGCCTTGGAGTGATCTTTATGAGTCACCTGCCCACACTCCAGCAGCCTCTGAGCTGTCAGTGTCCTTCCTTTTGAGGACAAGCTCTGGTTGCCAAATATGCCCCACAGGAGGGACATCTTTCCTGTGAGCAGCACTATGGACCCATCAGCTGTATCCTCATCCTGCGTGGCTTTGCCAGTATTGTCATCCCCTCTGCTCTGGAGTCTGCCCTCCCTGGTCAAGCAGCGCCTCGGGATGTGGGCTCGCCTCCAGGTGCCATTCGGACCTGCATGGTGGCACACGTATGGGTGGGAGGTTCTGGTGGGTGCACATTCGGTGTTTGCAGGCCCTCTCCCCAATGCCATTCTGGATGTGCTTTGTTGTACGGAATCATTTATTGTAGCCAAGTCGGTGTCTGGGTGTGGTTGTAAGGAATGATTGATCCAGAAGACAGGGCCTTGTACAATGAGGACCTGCCATGGTGGTTGTGTCTAGCTGTCCACAGGTTGTGCCTGCCCTGCACCTGAGCACTCCACCTTCCTGTGTTTCCTGGAGCTGGGGTGTCCATGCCTGTGAAGCAGAGTTCCCAGCACAGCAGTTTGACGCGCCCTCCTCACGCCCTACACAAACACTTCTCATGCAGGCACTGGGAACCAGTGTGTGGCATCCGGAGGCCATTGAAATATCACAGTGTAGTTTTTTAAACGTGAAGGGCACCATGTAATTTCTGAAAAGCAGCCCCCAGGTGGTTCTTATTGTGCCCCTGGCCAGCAGGGTGGTTCCTCCTGGGAATGCAATGGGGGAGCAAGTTCTCTGTCATCCTTTCAGGGTCCCATGGGCCCCCAGCCGGGGCTCTGTGTAAACACCTTTTGTAGAAATGGTATTTTTATTTTATTACGATATCAAGGCTGTGCTCCTGTAATGTTTCTGAATCATTTGACATAAGTCAGATGGAAACTCAGCCGTCTTAAGTGTCTGCCTTCATGATGGCACTGTGGGCCCAACACTCAAAATTCCAGAGGAGCCTTTGTCCTTTGAGGCTGTGTCCTTTGAGGCCCTGGATTCAGGCCTCTTCCTTGTGGGACCTCTTAGACCCATGTCCCCTTGTCCTATGACACTGACAGGTTATGTGGTGATGTTTCAGACACCATTCGATGTGAGGAAATGATATAATAAAGTGCCACTTGATGATTGTCTGCTGTGGGCTGGTTTGTCTAGGTTGGTGAACTCACTGCCTAAGGAAGCCTTCCCCAACCCACAGACCTCAGGGAGTCCTGAGAGCCAAGGCACCCTGCACCCAGATTGTTCCTGGCTGAGACTGGTGGTCCTGGTATCCTAAGTGGGTGAGGGCTGGACCATTGCAAGGGGTGCTCCAGGAGGATCAAGGGGCCCAACCCTACCCAAGGGGATCCCCCGGAAGGTGAGGGCTGTCTTCACACTGCAGCTCCATCTTTAGATCCCTACCCTGGGGTGGCCTGGCAGGGGGAAGGTCTCGGCACCCCACCTCGAGCTCAAGGGCATCAGCCTATCTCAGCATTTACACTTGGGTCCACTGCTGGGGGCCTCCCTAGACCTCTTGGCCCTGGGGTCTATGTCCTGGGACACAGCCTGAGCTGGACAGCCTTGGGCACCTCAGGAGAGTTGTCCAGGGACAAAGCCTGGGCCGGAGCCTATTTGTACACCATTATGAATCATTCCAAGTCCAGGGGCCACAACAGGGCACTAGGATTCAAGAAGTGCCTGTTCTGGGGCTGGGGTGGGCTGTGTTTGCTGGTAGACATCAACCTAAGGAGGAAGCAGCCAGCACAGAGGGCGTCAACTGCAGCAAAGACACAGTGACCCAAACAAGGTGAGGGCCAACAGTGGGTGGCAGGCAGGGGTTCTTGAGAAAAGAATGTGCTTTGTGTGCCTGGTCGGGGAGACACGAAGAACAGGACCTTCATGCAGAACACAGTGACCTCCCAGCCTTCTGGGGAGGCTCATTAGCCAAGAATTCTAGCTGATGGCCCTGGGAACCTGAGATCCACCCCAGCCCTGGGAAATGGACAGCCACAGGGCTGCCTGCAGTGCTGGGAGCCTTCCTGTTCCCAGCACTGGCCTGAGCAAATCTTGCAACTGCAGGGGCCACCAGCCATGTTCAGAAGGCATAGCTTTCATCAGCAGAAAGCAGGGACTGTTCTAGACCAGAAGAGGCCAGCAAGGCAGCAAAAGGGGTTCCTTCACTGGGCAGAGGTGTCCACAGGAAGCTTCATGACTGTCTAGTGCCCTCCTTCTGCGGCCAGCAGTGGTGTGAGTCACCTGAGCAGGCTCCTGGCCTGCCCCAACTCCCCTGGCCAGCCCCCTTTCCCAAGAGCCTATGGGGTTCACTAGGGCACAGGCTGGAGAGGAGCCTCAGGGCAGCAACAGGGTGCAGTGCAGCACCAGGGGGCGCCCCACTCACATTCTGCCTACCCAGGCAAGAATGCTAAGCCCAGCTGGGGGACAGCACTGCCTGTGGCCCAAGCCCACCTGGCACTCCCTCACTGCCCTCCAGGCTGGAACTTCAGCAGTCCTCCTCCAGTTGACCTCTGCTTCCCAGTCCTGGTCAGTCCAAGATGTCCCCATGGACAGTCCAGTGTCCTTGTTCCCAGCCTGGGATCTCTGGACAGGGCTCTGGAGGGTTGAAGGATTGGCTCTCCTTGTGATGTCACTGGCAGGCAGCCTGCTCCCAGACTACAGTGCTTCCCTGAATCAGACCCAAGACCGGGTAGCCTCACCTATCCAGCTCCCTCATCTGGAGGGCCCACTTGGACCAGCAGAAAGCAGAGCCTGAGAGAGTGCACCAGCTGAGCTCCAGTGCATCCAGGGCCACCATCTGGCCTAGACCAGAGAGTGGGGGACGGGCGCAACAGCCCTCTCCTGTCTCCTCAAGGAAGGCTTCCCAGGCTTACTCCCCACTTGTGGGTAGCCCTGTGTACCCCAGTTGTCAAGGCCCACCAAGCAGCAACAAGGGGTCCTGACTTAACAGGCTCCCGGGGGACTCAGAAGCAGCCCAGGTGTTCTCTGGCCAGGGAGCTGCCCAACCAGCTGAGGCCAGAAGCACGGCTTCAGCCAAAGTAGTCACTGCAGGGTCACGGGGTCATGGCACCAGTGGAGCCCTGGTGGTGGTGGGTAGCACCTCCATCTGGGGACCACCCGGGCTACTACTGTTCCCTCAGTGGCTAGTGGGCCCTCCCTCACTTGGGAACAAAGAACAGAACCTGTCCCTGACAGGAAGTAGGACAGAGCTGCCAAGATCTCAGCAGAAGGCAAGAGGCACAGGCAGGGACCAGGACCAGGCCTTTCTCTTTATTGTCTGGAAAGTATATCTGCTGGTTGACAATCACTCCCCAGTATGAGCCACACCTCTGGCCACTGCAGCAGGCCCTGAGCCACCAACGACCAGCAAGAGGCAGCCACCCAAGCTTGGGGCCCATTAACAGTACACAAAATAACAGAACTGAATTCACGGCTTTCTCTCCCCTAAGCTCTGAAAGGTAGCAGTCCAGGCTGTAAAAGTCTAGAAGCATTGCGTAAGAAGTGTTAAGTCTACAGCAGATACATCTTGTAAAAACTCAATAAATTACATATATAGATATATATAAACTGTAGCATCTAATAACATCTGAACCTGCAAGCAGAGCCAGCCCCTGCCCCCCTGGATGTGGTCCCCACCTGGAACATGCAGCAGTTGGAATCTGTATGAAAATACCCAGCTCCTTTGAAGTACAAAAAATAAATCTCCTAGAGAAAGCCCCTATAGAAAGCTAGTTCCCCTGCAAAGGAGGTCAGAGGAAACACGAGCTCAAGGAGGCCCTTTGGCCGACTGCCGTCGAGGCTCAGCCTCCTGTGCAGCTGCACATGCTCCTGCAGCCTAGTAACTTGGCTAAGCCTTGGCTGTTAATAAGTTAAGACTTTACTCTCTGCCATGTGCTGGCTAAATGCTGTGAACATGGGTGGGGAGCAAGGGTTCTGGGGGTTGATAAATAGCTTTACAAATATACAGGGTCCAAGTACAATTTTTAAAACAAAACTGCGGTGCCAGAAAAGCCTGCTGCTGCCCTGTATTGCATCTGCCTCCCGAACAAGCCTCAAGGGGCCTCCCCCATCAGGCAATGCCCCCTGTACCCCGCAGCATTCCTTCCCTCCACACAGATACTCTTACAGGTATGGATGTATACATATCATATACACAGCATCTATTTATATAAATGTACACTCATTTCTGGAATAAAACTTTCGGATAGAAGGCAGAGGCTCCCACCTTCGGATACCCGTAATTTCAGTCTTGGAGGGGCAGGGTGGGAAGTGGGGAGGCCTGGAGGTGGGGAAGCTGCCACTCACCCCCAGGCACAAGGTGCCACTCAGGAGGCTTGCCACAGAGGGCATCCCCGCAGCTCAGCTTTGGGCACTGGAGGGCCTGAGGCCCACTGTGGACACTGGGTCCAGCCTGGCCTGTGGTGCTTCTTATGGGGTGGTGGTGAAGGACCAGGCACTCTTACATTCCATATTTGGTCCCCCAAAACAAGGGTCCCTTGGTCTCCTGGCAGTGGTGAGTCAGGAGATCACTGTATAGCAGCGCAGGCCCCAGGAGACCTCTGCACCCGGGGGCCGCCAGACACACACACACACACACACACACACATCTATGTCCATCTGCCCATCCATCCTGGGTTTGGGCCCGGGTCCACTGTACACCAGCAGCAGCACTGTAGGCTGGGATCCACTCTCACATTGATGGGGCTTGGCCTAAGGGCCAAGGGCCCTTCACGTCCGAGGGCCCACATTGCTGGGTGGGGCTGGGGGCAGCAGGTCATGGGTAAACACAGAGTCGTCCCCTGAGGAGCTGGAACTGGGGGTGTCTTGGCCACCTGGCGAGTACTGCTCAAAGGGCACTGACAGGTCCAGGTACTCCTGCCAGGAATGGAACCAGTCAGTGCTGTCTCCTGCATGAGCCCCACCCCAGCTGTGCTCAGGCTATCCCCAAGGACACTCCCAAGGGGAAGCAGAGCAGCCACATGGGGGACAGAAGGGGGCTGGCACTCACATCAGTGGACGTCACGGTGAGGATGCGATCCAGGTCCTCAACCAGTTGTTTGAAGGTAGGCCTCTGGGAGGGCACTGCGTGCCAGCACTCACGCATGATCATGTACCTAGGGACGAGGCTGCTCAGGCCCAGCCCCTCAGCCTGGTCCATCTTGCAAACACAGGGCTACCAGCCCCCCACCCACCACAGGAGCTGCACCCAGGCCCTAGCAGGAACCCCCAGGGGCCCATGGAGTATGCTGTGCTCACAGGTCGTGTGTGCAGTTGGCTGGCCTGTCCATGCGGTGGCCCTCCTTCAGCAGCTTGAAGAGCTCCTCCACGGGTATGCCGGGGTACGGTGAGCCCCCCAGGGTGAAGATCTCCCAGAGCAGGACCCCAAAGGACCAGCTGCAGAAGTGAGACAAGCCAGTCTGCCCTACGATCCCAGGGCCCAGTCCTTCAGCAGCCCCACCCCAGCACCTGCCACGGGGGACTACAGGGCCCAAGGGCTGAGGGGAGACGGCTGAGCAAAGGAGTGCAGAGCGCACTGCCCAGGGCTGTGTGGGAAGCACCCGAGTCTGCTCTGTCCCTGGCTCCCTGCTCCCCCCTAGGCGCACATACACATCACTCTGGTGGGTGTAGACCCGATCAAACAGGGCCTCAGGGGCCATCCACTTCACAGGCAGCCGGCCCTAGGAGCACAAGAGCAGGTGTTGGTTGCCAGGCACCTCTGGCTCCAGCCCCCGCCCACCCGGGGCGAGGCTCACATTGGTGGTCTTCTTATAGTAGTCGAGATTGTGCACATCACGGGCCAGGCCAAAGTCGGCTATCTTCATCACGTTGTCCTCAGTCACCAGCACGTTGCGGGCAGCCAGGTCCCTGTGGATGCACTGGAGCAGGGGCCAGGGATGAGCAGAGCCTTCTGGCATCTCCTCGCCTCTGCCCCGCTGTGAGATGCCCTGGCCTGGGTCTCCACCCCAGCAGGTCTGTCACCCTCCCCTCAGCCTAGAAGGCCTGTGCCTCCTGCCCACTCACCTTCTGGGATGCCAGATACTCCATGCCCCGCGCCACCTGGTAGGCACATGACACCAGGTCCTTGAAGGTGAGCTGTTCCTCAGGCAGCCTGCAGGTGTGGAAGGAGTAGTCCATGCCCGGCGGCCTCCGCGCCCGAAGGTACTCCCTCAGGTTGCCTTTGGCCGCGTACTCCACCAGCACGTACAGAGGCCCTGCAAGCACAGGCCTCAGAGGGGACACCAGGCCCGGGGAGGGTGCCGCCCGCCCTGTCCAGCCAGCCCCCCACCTACCGCCTTGCGTGCAGGCCCCCAGCAGGTTGATGATGTTCTTGTGCCTCCCAATCATCTTCATCATCTCCATCTCCGACACCAGGTCCGACAGGTCCTTGTCAGTGGCATCGTCTGTCCCGGGAGGTGGGGTGTCAAGCAGTGGCGCCCACAGCCCACCCAGGTGCCCCTTGATGTCTCCATTCTCACCTTTCAGCATTTTCACCGCCACTGTAACAGGTCTGGCAGCACGGTCCTTGTCGATGCCAATGGCCTCTGCCATGACCACCTGGCCAAAGCAGCCCTCTCCAAGAGGCTTGCCCAAGGTCAGTCTGGAAGCAGAGAGGCTCTGAGGGTGCACCCTGGCCCAGCACAGCCTTCAAGGCCTGGCTACGCCTCCAGGGAGCCCTCCAGTCTTACCCTGTGCCCTAGCTCCTGAGACTAGGGCCGCACCCTCAAGCTTCTTGCCCTGTGCCAGGCCCTTCACATACACACCCTGAGACCCTGAGAGGTCTGGGTTTTCCACCTGCATCAACAGCTGCCCTGTTTTCAAAAGCCACTGTGCCCAGCCCAGTTCCAGTCTAAAGTCAATCGGGCCTCTACACAGTGATTGTCCCACCACCCACCACAGAACCCCTGCCAGGCCCAGTCATCCCTCACCACCACTGACCGGGCCCGGGACAGCTCCCATTTGGGGTCGGCAGGTAACTCAAGCTCAGAAACATTAGCCAGCGTGGGACCTTCTCCCGAGGACAGCCGGGCAATGCGGACCAGCGGTGTGTTGGAGTTCATGGACGAGTTGGACTCCAAGGACACCTGCTTGGGTCGGTAAAGGCAGGTTGGTGGGGGGCCAGAGGGGGTGGGGGAGGACAGCCCCAGGGACAGCAAGGCCAGGGCAAAGCAGGCTCGGCTCTGGGAGCTGGGGCGGCAGTGGCTCAGAACCTGGTATCTACTTTCTGTTACCTGTCGCTTGAGCGGGAAGCGGGAGACCGTGTGCACAGTGGGGGAGCCCAGCCCCTTCTTGGGAGGGCTGCGCAGGCGGCACAGCGTTACAGCTGCCACCAGCAGAATGAAGAGGAAGAAGCCCACCCCGTAGCTGAGGACGCCTGCATACACGCTGCCAGCCTCGTCCGCCTCCACCAGCTCCTCCTCCGCTGCAAAGACACCCGGCGTTGGGGCCTGGCCCAGCCTCCCCAGAGCCCCAGGGCCAGAGCCACAGCTCCAGTGGGGTAGGCAGGGCTCAGCCCCCAGGGGGACCAGAGCTAGGGACCGAGGCCTCCATGGCCCCACAGGCCCAAATGATGCAGTCAGAACTTCTGTGGAGTCAAGAGGCCCAGACCCAGGACGGAAGCAGCCCAGCAGAGCAGCAGCACCACTGCACCCAGCACCCGGAAATGCTGAAGCCAGAGCAGGGCAGGGGGACCTGGGGGTGCAGGGGAGGCCCAACGTGGGCCAGGACGGGCCAGGCTGATGTTCCCAGGCCAGGAACCAGGCCGGGCATGAGGCCTGCATGTGGTGGGCAGCCGCAGGCAGGGCCCTGCCCCGCCCTGCAGCTCTGGCTTATCCTGAGCCAGCCCGAGGACAGGTGCGAAGCCATTAGCAGCAGTAGCAGGTACCTGGCAGCACCGCCAGCCACGCAGAGTGATGGGAAAACCCGATAGAATTGCCCGCCAGGCAGGTGTACTCCCCCGCGTCCTCAAAGGTGACATTGCGCAAGGATAGAACCTCTAGCTCCTTGTCGGTGGTGTTAGCGCCCGCCGTCTATAAAGAGAGAACAGAGCGATAGGCGAGCGCCAGCACTGCCCACGGGCACCGCGGCAGAGTCCACACAGCGACGATCCAGCCAGGCTGCAAGGAAAACACTGCCACCACCACTTGGCCACCACCACGGCCGGCCACCGCCACGGCCCAGGGCCCTCCGCCTCGTGCTCTGGCACTGGCATGGAGCCTGAAGCCAGTCCCTCCACCGGCGAGTCCTCTGTCCCAGCTGAGCGTCAGGCAGGCGGGCAGCACGGCACCGCTCAAAGGCAGCATGCAGGGTTAGTGCAGAGAGGAGAGGTGCAGATGGAAGACAGGTGGACAGATAAACAGACGGACAGCAGAAGGCGAGCAGGCAGAGTCAGTGGCCAAAGAGAGGCCAAGAGTGGATGCTCTGTGTGGGGCTCAGCCCCTGACAGGCTCTGAGGACCTTCTGGGGGTGCACATCGGGTACAGGAGGGGTCAGCACAGGCCAGGAGTCTGAAGCCAGCATTCACAGTCGTGGGCCTGGGCTGCCAGCGTTGCCAGGCTGGCCACAAGCGGAGTGCGGCCATAAGGTGGAGGGAGCAGGAAGGGACGTGCAGGGGCGTGCAGGCAGGCACAGGGCCGGGGCGTTGGAGCTGGAGCTCGGCGTGCCAGGCAGGCGTGGGACAGAGTTGTTACCTGCTCGGGGCCCATGAACACGCAGCCAAAAGGCCTTCTCGGCCACGCCTATGAAATTGGTGGCTCGACAGAGGTACTCGCCCCCGTCCCTCTCCGACACATTGGCCAGGTGGAGGCGCGCGTCCGCCTCCACATTCTCACTGATCCAGGACTGCGGGGACAAGAGACCTGGCTCAGGCACACCCCAGGAAGCCCAGCTGGACACCAGGCAGGAGGCAGGAGAGCCCCAAGGAAGGCAGGGGATGGGGCTGCGCCATCCCTCGGGCTGCCTAGAGGAGGCGCCAAGACCCGCAGGTGATGGGCTGTGGCTTCACAGGATGCGCCTTCTCCATATCCAAACTTCCACCCAGAGCCCAGACCCCTCAGCCAGCCCCCGCCTAGGCCCAGAGTGTTGGCTGGGCCCAGGGCACCCACGCTCCTGAGGGCACGTATGCTCCCACATGCCCACGCCACGGGACAGGGCCCCACAGCCTGTCCCAGCTCTCTGGACTCTGGCTCCCGTCCTGCTCCAAGTGCCGCCCCACCCCCACAGGCCGCTTGTCTCTGAACAGAGGTTTCTCTTTGGGCTTCCAGTGTTGCAACCATCCCCACTCGGGTGGCCCCCACCCCGCAGCCATGGGAACCAAGCTAGGGCAGGGAAAGGCAGCGGGTGGCGAGCAGTGCCACACCACGCAGCTGGCAACAGCCACCTGGGCCAGCTCTGGGAGTGGCTGTCCAGGTGTGAGGTCCTCGAGGGTGCTGGGAGGTTCAGCAGCTGCCTCCTGCCCTGGGCCACCATCACTGTCACCTGAGCTCAAGCCTACCCAGAGGCCTCCTGCTGGCCAGCTCCAAACTGTGGGGCTCCAGGGGGCCGAGGCCAACCCAGAGCAAACAGGGCCACAGGCTCCAGTGTGGCCCTGAGCCCCACCTTCCTCCAGAGGCTCCCACCCTGGCCGAGCCCCCGTGGCAGTGCCCACCTTGAGCACGGTGACGTAGGGCGTGCCGTCAGGGCCCACCTTGCTGCCATTCACCTCCACGTGCTTGAGCCACTGGATGTGGGGCTGTGCGTCACTGTACACCTTGCAGTGGAACTCCACGTCGCTGCCCAGTACGGCTGTCTGGTTGGCTGGCAGCCCCGCCTGCAGGATGGGCCGGTGCGGGGAGCGCTCTGCAGAGGGGTCAGCAGGCTGGTCAGGGGCTTGGCTTCCCTGGCTGGCTGCCACCCAGCCAAGTCCCAGGCCCGGCTGGCCTTACCCAGCACGTCCAGAGTGTACGTCTGCCGGATGCTGCCAAACTTGTTCTCCACCACGCACGTGTAGTTGCCGCGGTCAGAGGGCACCACGCTCTCCATGACCAGGCTCCACTGCTGATGACGCAGCTGCAGGTGACATGGGACCGGCTAATGAGCAGCAGCAGCAGCAGGCCCTGTCCTGCCAGGCCCCCAGACCTGCCCTGGGCCCACCTTGATGCCCCCAATGCGATGCTCCCCTCGGAACTCCTTGCCGTTCTTCAGCCAGGAGATGGAAGGAGTGGGGTTGCCAGCAGCTGGGCAGCGGAAGCGAACTGTGTTGGCAGCCGGTACTGCCAGCAGTTTCTTGTCCATCCGCTCTGGCCGAGTCCAGTAAGGGGCCCCTGTGGGTGCAGGTGGATGTGAGGCCACAGTGGAGGCAGGGAGGAGAGCTCCACCTCACTCCTTCCAAAGCTGGCTCCTGCTAAGCCTCTAGTCTGTTTCCCCTCCTGTTTGGGGTGTGCTGGCCTTTCAGGGTCCTCCTTGTGGACTGGACACCCTCAGACTGGGCCATAGATATTCCCCACAAGAGGCTGCTCTTGCTGAGAGGCTCTGGCCTGGGGACATGTCCAGGGAGGTCCCTACCAGGAGGGCACATTGGGATAGGCAGCCACCTGAGGGAGACCCAAGACCCAGCCAGCAGCCCAGCAGGCCCTGAGCCCTGGGACATGGTTTTTAGGAGGAGGAAATGGAGTATGCAGAGCAGGGGAAGCAGCCAGGCCATGTCAGCCCCCAGGCCTCTGCCGGGCCTGGCAAGGATGGCAGCCTGGAGGTTCTGCTCCTCCCTGCCTTGGTGCCCAGGGCCACTGCCACCACCTCCAACCCCCACTGGGTTTTCTCCTTCTCTGGGAGGGGGGTGGGGGCACCGGTGCTGCCTTCTCGTCCATACCCATTAGGAGGCTGGGCCTTGCCCCCCAGAAGGGAGGCAGCAGGTCCAGGACCAAGGAGGGAGGTGACTGCTGTTCACAGGACCTCACTGCTGTCTGCCCCAGGGACACACGTTGTACACGCACAGCTGCACACTGAAACACCCCGGCACAGCCACCTGCTCCTGCTGTAGTATGACAGTCACCCCAGGGGCTCTCAATCCCTGGGCACATTTGTCCCTTAGCCATCTTCCTACTGGGACAGCCCCTCACCCAGAACCAACCCCAAGTCCCCACGGGCCAGACCTGGCCTCGCCTCTCCAGAACGCTGTATCAAGCCTCCCCATGTGAGCATGGGTCTCTCCCACCCCACGGCCACCTGGAGCTCAGAGCCAAGCATCCAGAGCCACCCAGTGGCCCATAGAGGTCATCCCCCAGGCCTAGTGAGGTGTCTCGCCTGCCCGTGGTGGCCAGGGCTGGGCAGAGTGAAGCAGGCCCTGAGTGCCGAGCCCCTGGTCTCACCTGTGTCCTCAGCCACATCCTCCCCGTCTTCATCGTCTCCAGAGGATGGAGCATCTGCAGTACAGGAGGAGTGTGAGTGGGCCACCCCCAGCCAGGTGCCCTACCGGGGCAGGGCTGCTGCAGCCACACTGCCGGGGCTGGCCCTGGCCTCTCACTGCCCTGCCAGCCACGCCCCCCGGCCCCGGCCTGCACACCCCAGGGTTTACCTGTCACACGCACACTGAAGTGGCACAGCACGCGCTGTGTGAGCCGCTGCCGGCAACTGTAGGCCCCAGTGTCTTCACGAGAGGCGTTTAGCACCTGCAGCTGCTGGGGCCCCACCAGGATACGGCCCGAGGACTCCAGTCCCGAGCCATCCTTGACCCAGATCGTGGGACCCACAGGACCACCTCCGGGTGGGTCACAGCTCAGCTCCATGGTGTCCCCACTCCCAAAGACCAGCGGCTCCTGCTGGCCAGGCTCAGGCCCTGGGCCCTCTGTGGGTGAAAAGGCAGCACTGAGGGAAGCCTGGGATCAGACACCCTGCGCCCAGCACCTGCACAGCAACCCAGCATAGCTACAGAGGTCCTAAGTGGGAGGGTCTGTCTCCAGAGCCAGCGTCCTGCCAGATAACACTCAAATCAGAGGCCAGAACCTCCCCTAATCGGCCCAGGGGAATCAACTCTCTCAGTTCTGCCAACCAGTCTCTGTTCCAAGGACTCGACTCTGCGCTGGAGTACAAAGCTGCCTTCCAAAGACAATCCCTAAGCGGCTGGGCATGGCTGTGCTCCAATAAAATTTCTTTAGGACGCTGAAAATTCTAATTTCAAAATATTCCAAAAGGGGCTGGTGTGACTCAGTGACAGAGCGCTTGCCTAGTGTGCATTCACCTTGGGTCTGATCCCAATGCCGAGGGAGAAGAAAGTGCCACTAAGTGTTATTCTTTTGATTTTTCTACCATTTGGAAATGTAAAATCCGTTCTGGGCCCACCATCACAAAAGCAGGGAGGACAAGCAACACTACATCAACCTCTGGCTAAAATAAAGCTCAGAGGAAGGGATGCAGCAATTCCCAAGGAGGCCCTCTCCTCACCCACAGCCCTCACCGCAGCTTCAAGAGCAGTTCAGAGGAGCTGGAGAAGACCCTGCCAAACCCAAAAAACCAAAGGCCAAAGGTTTTGTCTGATAAGCAAGTGCTAATCCATAATGAGGAGCTGGGGGTTGAAGGACTTTGGGTTTTGCAAGGAGGGGGTAGAGATGGGAAGGACTGCCGCAGTCTGGCTGGGCACAAATCACGAGCCACTCAAGCTGGAACAAACTTTATTTCCAAACTCCTCCAACTCCCTTCCAGGGACACCACACACCAACCGGAACTCCCTCCACCGGGCCTTCACCAACCAACCCGAACTCCCCTGGAATCCCCTAGAGAACTCCAAAGAGGCGGACAGCAGGGGTCTGTATACAATTGAATATACAGCTTAACTTAACTATCATCATCTCAATGGCTCGCTGTCACCTCTCAACCACTCCCTCTGGCAAAATGCCAGGTGCCACCCCGACTCCACTGGCTGTGGCCCTCAACAAAGGACAGTGGAATGAGATGGACATTATTACCCTATATACATGTATGATCATACTACTGGTGTGACTCTGCACCAAATTCAACCAGAGGAAGGAGACATTGTGCTCCATTTGTGTACAATGTCAAAATGTATCCGACTGTCATGAATAACTAATTAGAACAAATTTTAAAGTTTAAAACAATAAAAATAAAGCAGTGTATATGGAGAGCCAGGGACCAGCCCCTGCCCCGGTGCGATAAGAAGGAAGGAAATACAGGTCAGTAGGTCCAATGGGTCCTATTCCACACAAGGCGCAAAGCAGTGGCTGCAGCCAGCAAGGCAAGCCCCGCCCCAGGTGGCCAGGCAAGGGAGCTGCAGTGGGACTGGCTAGTGGCGGCCCCTCCGCTCCACAGAGCTCCACACAGCCTCGGGTACCAGGGCAGCCCTCGAGGTACAAGGGAGCCTGGGTAGGCCCAGGAGAGTGGCTGATATTGGGCTCTTGCCTGCATGGGGCCTGGAGCCCGCTTCACAGATGCCACAGACAGGGAGGGGAAGCAGTCTAGCCATCAGGTGAGTGCTCAGAGCTGAAGTCTAGGGCAGGTGAGGAGCCCGGGCCCTGCCCTGAGGGCTGACAGCCTGGGGTGGGAACGCAGCACCAGGCAGGTATGCAAAGGTGGCTTCTGGACACCTGCCCAGGGACTGCCTAGCTGCTGATGGGACCCCAGGCCTGAGACCAGGGACACACCATCAGCAGGGCTGACCATCACCCCCAGGCCTCCCTGCCAGGGCATACAACGTCTGCATGGGGGTAGCTGGGCTTGGGGCCCAGGATGGGCGGGTGGTCCTGCTAGGCAGACCTTTTCTAGCCAGCTGGACGCTGCACCATTACTTGTCATTCTGCTGACGCGTGGCCTAGATTCGAGGCCCAGCTGCCCACTCTGGCCACACCAGTCCCTGGTTCCCCGGAAAGGCATGACTCTGCCTGTCCTACACACCCAGGGCCATGGGATCCAGCCAAAAGGACCCGCTCAGCCCCTGAAATACCTATGGGAGCCTGCATCCCACAGGGAACCACAATTTAAGGCTAGCCCTGGTGGGCCCGCAATCAGGTGGGCTCTTGGCCTGACCTCCAGCCCTCCATCCCTGCTGGTATGTCCTGTGGGGACCACCCAGTGCTGGAGCTGCTGAGGCCCCCCAGAAGGCCAAGGACAGGCCGGTAGTAGCCTCAGCTTCAGGCCTTGGCCAAAGGCAATAGCCAGTTGGTTCCGGTTTGGTCTGGGCAAGGATAGCAGGTCAAGCCATCCCCACAAGTATTTGCTTCAACCTGGTCCAGTGAGAGGAACTGGGAGGAGACCGGGAAGAGCCCCAGGCTGGTCATGCAGATGGCTGCTGGTGTAGGATGGGAAGGGAAGGGGCCCTGCACTCAGCCATCGCTGACCCTTGACCTGCCCATCCACCCTGCTGCCGGGTGCCAGGAGAGGCCAGAGACAACAGAGCGACCTCAGGCAACAGAGTGACCTTAGGCAACAGAGTCTCCACCTCCTTTGATCACATTCCAGGGCCCATAGGGCCTGGGGCTGACCTGCAGGGACTGGGTTAGGAGAGTCTGGCAGGGAGATGCCAAGGGAAAGACAATGTGACTGGCCTGAGTGGACACTATCTCCCCCTGGGGAGGCAGCAGCAGAGCCCCCAAATGCCCCAGCCTGGCCCCCATGCTCACCAGGAGGCAGGAAGGTTCTTTCCTCATCAACAAGGAACCACCTGCACCCACACTAGCCCCTGGTGCTCCTGCTGTGCCTGTGGGGATGATGTCTGCCACGTAGGCCTCACAGCACCTAGTGTCCCCATGTCCCAGGGAGCTGAACCCAGCCAGAGCACCTCAGACCAAAGAGAGCTCACTGTCAGAGCTGGAGGAGCATGTGTTCTGGGGACAGGGTTTGCTGGGCCTGGGGTCTCCCTGTCTCTGAGCCTCAGTTCCCACCACTGTAACCCAATTCAAAAATACTACCCTGTAGGCCTGGGGACCCAGGAAGGCCACCTCACCTGCTTACATGCTGGAGCTGGTGAAGAGGGGTGGGGGTGAGGGGCATTTCTGCCTGGGTGTCTTGCCCCAGGCTACAGCCAAGCCAGCCTGCTGAGGAGGGTCATGGCTCCTGCCCAAGAAACCATTCTCCTAGTGCTGAGTCGCCACAGCTGAGGCCCAATGCACCCTGCAGAACTAGCATCAAATTCACACTTGATTCTAAAGCCAGCCACCCCAAGCTCAGGGGGGGCTAAGCATTCTGGCTTGGCCCAGGACACTGTCTGAAGCCCAGATATGGGAGACAGTGCCAGGTATGGGGTTAAGGTAGCCTAAAAGAAGGGCAGTGCCCCAAGGGACCCTGAAGACAAAGCAAAGGTCTGGCTTTCCACTTCCCCTCCCATCCCACCCGGAGACATTCCGCAAAGTTTTGTAACAAAGTCAGGGGAGAAAAAAAGGGATCTGGAGACCGGGTGGGCTAATGAGGGCTTATGGGGATTATCCAGGCTAATCCTCAAAACAATCCTGCCATTATCGGTCCTCGGTTGGTCCTCAGTTCTCTCCGACAGGTGAGAAGCCTGAGGTTCCAGGAGGGTACCCCGAACCTGGCCCCACAGCTGGCAGCCTGAAGGTCTAGGCATACACCCCCTCAAACAAAAGGGGGCTGGCTCACAGCTTCTCCTAAATGACTAAGGCCTGAGGGACCCCTGCTCTTCCCTGAGCCTAAGCAGGTCCCCTAACCCTTGGGCAGACCCTAGGCCACCTTGCCCAAAGACTTCAAGCCCTTTGGTTCCCTTCTCGACTCAACTATAAAAGAAGCACCCACATTCGGTTCCAGTCCTAAGTGAGACCTGAAGACAAGGAGGGGGTGTGGGTGACAAGGGGGTTCCTAGTCACAATACAAGGGCTGGAAGGGCAGAGGATTAGCCAGGGTTAATGAACCACCCAGAGGCCTACAGGGCTCAAAGTCCAGCCGGGCCCAGGAGCAGTGGGGGAGGCTGGAGCCAGGACCTAGTTTCTGGGGAAAGACCTACACTCCCTCGAGGTGGCTCCTAGCTGGGGTAGGGTTAACCTCCCGACCTCCTACGGGAGAACATGGTCCAGCAAGGATGGAGGTTGCCCTTGCTGGGCCTGAGGTGGCCAGAGCAGTCCAGTGGCTAAAGCTCTCCCCACTGCCCTAGACCCCACCCGGCTCCACCTTTATAATTTATGTTCCCGGAGAAAGCACCAGCCGGGACCTCTGTAAATTTCACGAGGTCTTTGTATTTTTACTGCTGGCCCATCTTGTTAAGGAACCGGATTAAGTTTATTGACCTATCAACTCCCTACCTGTTCCACCAGCTCTAGTGAGGGGGCGGGGGTACCGCCGCGCGCGGGCGCCAGGAGCAGTGAGCCTGTGCGCACCCTGCCGGCGCGCAAGGAGCCATGCGGGGAGGCCACCGTGCGTCCGAGCCGCGGGGTCCAGCAGCGGGCCGGGCGCCCCTCGCCGCTCCTCTCTTGGCTCGGGGAGTAGGGAGTAATATCTTTATCTGAATGCGCATGCTAATGCGGCCCCCCACCGCCGTTCTTTCGGCGCCCTGGAAGCTGGGCCGTCGGAGCAGGCGCTAAAAGCGCGCGCTGACCTCCGGACGGCCTCTGTCACGCCGCTGAATGACACGCACATTCAAGCGCAGGGCCCACTTTCATTCATAAAAAAATGACATTGTTCCGGGAGGCTGCAGCCGCCGCCGGAGAAAGGGGCGCGGGGGCGCGGGGAGGGGCGCGCCACCATCTGCCTCGTCCCGCCGCGCCCGCCGCGCAGCTCGCACCTCCCCGCGAGGCCGCCGCCATCAATGCGCGGTCTGTGGCCGCCCGGGTACAAAGGAGCGGCTGTTCGGGCCTCGGCCCGGGTGGGGCAAGGCTCACGGGGCGAAGGCCTCCCTCCGAGCGGTTGCCAGCCAGACCAACCCTCCACCCAGCAGTCCGCGGCACCGCCATGCTCCCCTGCGCGCGCCGCGCCTCAGGTTCGAAAGCGCGTGCTGGGCGGGCCTGGCGCACCCTGTCCTCCTGTTGCTCTGCAGGCTCTCTTTGCTGACCCTCGACGTCCTGCTGGACCTTGACCGCCAGCCCGCGTCTGCGACCCCATAACCCTGACATCTGCGCCCTCACCTCCCACAGCCCTCCCTGCCTGTTGTTGGGTGAGCACCCAGGGGCAGACCCTTTGGACCCCCGGGCAAGAGAGCAGGGAGGGGGCGGTGGTGGCCCGGAGGCTGTCACCTCATCACTGCGGGCTACTGAAGGGCAGAGGCCGAGCTTCGGCTTACACACTCCTACCCACCTCCAAAGTCCAACCTCTTGCTTTAGCTGACGCTGGCCAAGCACTGAGGCCCCCCGGGGGGGGGGCACCAACAATAGGAAGTTTCCACTGCGGAGCACCCGAGGGGCAACAGTGGAAACTCGGTGGTACCTCCACCGCGCCCTCTCGACCGCGCCACGGCTGGGGAGTCGCGGGGGACGGGAGTCTGGCGCCTCGCACTTGGGTGGTGGCCCTGCGGCTCCAGTAACCCCATAAACCGCCGCGTCGGCTCTGGTTGCGATCTCGGGAGAAAGGGACACCAGAACCCGACACTAGTCCTGCAGTGACACTCCACCGGGACTTTCTCACCACTCAAGCCCTGTCCGGGTCCCCGACGCCTCTACCTGCCACTGCCCGGCCCCTCTAGGTGCACGTTGCAGCTTCCTTACCTGCTGCTCTCGGCAAGACGCGCTGCTCTGTGCCCGGGGACTCCGAGGCGACGCCCGCCACAACCGCTGCGGCCACGCACAGTGCGAGGGCGCAGGCCGGGGCGCCCATGGCGGGAGCGGAGGCTGCAGCGTCCTCAGGAGGCGCG